TCTTTGGTTGGCATCAGTCAACTGGAGGGAAAACTGCTTGATCAGTGGGGAGTTTCAGTGTCTGTGGGAAGATGGTGTGTAGCTATGGGTGATAGAGGAGGAGGGTTACTTCGAGCTTGCACAGAATGGGGCAAGAGAGAGGTAGTGGTTGCTGGAGTAACATTTTTTAGTTAGGTGTGAGGAAGAAACAGTGAGAAATGGTACAGATAGATGGTACAGTCAGATTTCTGACTTCTGTGTTTGGCAGGAATATATTTGTAGTCTTACATAGGAGGCATTTTAATATGCTTTTCTTGGTGATGTGGATTGATGGAATGGTGGTGGTGTGGGGGAGAGCAAGAGGACAAACTCCCCTCTGGGTAGCTGGCTGTCCTTAATCTTCTGAGAGTTTGTTTGATTCCCAAGGACTTTACTTATATCCCTTCCAGTTGGAGACTTGAATGCACTGGATGGTCTATAGTAACTACAGTGACCACATAGATGTGCTGGTAAGTTCATGTGCTTGGTGTTGTGGCAGTGCAGCTTGATCTGCGGTAGCTGGGTTACGTTCATTTTGCAGTGCACAACACCACTGCATCTCTGCAAACTTAGGAAGAAGCAGCTGTTTGCATTTGCCTTCCATAGTATAGAATGATGATATGACTTAAAGCTGAACTGCCTTCTCTCAGAAGAAGGAATAGTAGATGGTGGTTTCCACCTGCTTACACCTCATCTAGTGCTGTGCATGGTTGCCCTCTTGTATGTATGAATCTGTGTGAGGAGTTGCTTGCTTGTCACAGGTACAAATTAATCTACATTAATCAGGAGCATAGAACTGTTGAATCATTCTGGTTTGAAAAGACCATTGAGATCCTAGAGTCCAACTGTAAACCCATCACCCCAATGCCTGCTAAACCATGTCCCTAAGTGCCTCATCCACACATTTCTGGACACTGTCAGAGATGGCGACTCCACCACTTCCTGGGGCAGCCTCTTCCAATGCTTCACCACTCTTCCTGTGTAGATATTAGGAAGAATTTCAACCCAAACCTTCCCTGGCACAACTTGAGGCCATTTCCTCTTGTCCTATTGTTAGTTTTTCTGGAGCATCTAGGTTTGATGCTGGGATCACTTCAAGACAGTGTGATGCAGTTCTGCCCTATCTCCTGCTGCCTTTCTTGCAGTGACCCTGCAGCCTGATCTGGCAAAAATAATCACTCTCTCCATGTTCTCCCTATTGCTCATTTGTGAAATACTCTCCTATTTGCTTTCCTTGTGACATTTTTTTGTAGAATGCCAGGTTATAGGTAAAACACCCACATGTAAGAGCTTGTACTACCTGTAGTAGTGTTGTATGTAATATACAATACTACTATGTAATATATGAAAGGATTAATTTATGTGCTTCTGAAACAAGCTGTCAGTGTTTGGATTGTTTTGCAATTAGTATGTTTAGCATTTTGGCTCCTAATGTACATTATCTTGTAGGGAAGCCATTCATTAGATTTTTTTTTTTTAAAAGGAAAAATGCATCAGAACTGTGAAAGCATGTGGAATTGCTCTAATATGTTCTATTTTTTTGCCTTTTTCCTCTAACAAACAAGAACAATATACACTGATTTTTTTGATATGGTTGGTTAAGGGGGAAAAAAGTCGTAAAGAAGTGAACATTTTCAAATGAGAACTAATTTGTTCCCATGGTCTACTAAGATTTTGTAAATGCTCTGGTATGAGGTAGGCCTTAAATCAAAACAGAATATCTTATTTTTAGAGATCGTTTTGTTTAATAGCAGATTACTAAGCTCAGAGTTCAAAGTATCTGGAAGAAACTTCAGCCAATGTTAAGCTTTAAGCATCCTTGGCATACTTTAAGCAATACTAATGTTTACAGATTGTGTTCATGAATTGATTCTTGGCTGCTAAAACTTCAGAGGAATGTGACTGAAACTGTGTCTTCTAGAAGGCATTCAAAAACTGTTTCATACTGACTGGGTGTTTTATCTTCTGAGACAAGTTCCATGGATCTTTGATGTGATGCTCTTTTTCAACTCCCTGGAATTGAAATTCTGGGCCCTTTCAGTCCTTTTTTGCAAACAATTATTAAATGTTTAAAGCAGTATTTCACATTTGGCAACCTGAGTTGGTTCCCCTCTTCCTCAGTAGGAAGAAATCTTGTTAATTCACTTCTGTGTTTTGGTCTAGGTTTTGAGGCGTTGCTATTGCTTAAATCACTATTGACATTTTCAGGTATTAACATTCATACTTGAACTTGAAATGAGGGTGGTTTGGGTGGCAGACCTTGAGATTCCTGAAACTTCCTGATGCCTTTGAGCAATTCAGTGATGATCCAGAAAAACTTAAAAAGGCTTCCAGCTTTGGGGAATTAATTAGCCCAATGCAAATCTTGTGTGGTACAACCAAAAAGAACCCCAAAGAAAGAGTGTGTTGCTATCTGACTTCCCTGAAGGTAACCGTGTAGTAGGGGAACTTGAAAGTGAGGTTTCTGCCTGGCTGTTTAGTGAGGAAGTCTGTTGTAGAAAGATGAGGGATTGGTATCTTAGAGCAAAAGAATATTTATGATAACTCATCCTATAGTCTATGCCAGGATGCTCCCAGTAGGCAATTTGAATCTGTTGAGTAGTTTAGTAGGATCATTTGTGTCCTTCCAGGGAATCTGCTCTGGATCTTACTGCTTCAGCATCTTGAAGAGACAGAAGAGATTAAGTGGCCTAGGAGTTGGTTTCATACCAGTTTGGCTGAGATTTGTGCTGGTTTGCTGGCTAGATGATGGTGGTTTGCAGGATTCTGCAATAATCTGAGTTATTGCCTAAAGTTCTGGTAATTATGTAAGAAATTAGAGAGGAAGGAAATGAGCGTGGATGCTAGGAAAGATGAACGGAAAATAATTGCAAGTGGGCAAATGGCAAGTAAAAAGAGGGGACCAGATGTCTGAAGTGTCAAAAAATCTTTGTGAATATATTGCCTTTGGAACAGCTGCTTCTGTCTGCCCCAAAGCAAAAGACGTGTGCTGGAAGCTGAATGTTTAAAGTTGACTTTAAGAAAAGTGAAGTGGGGGTCAGGAGAGGGGGGAGAAGCCCTTTCCTGCTCTTAGTGCAAAGCTGCACAAGGCAGCTGCAGAATTGCAGCTGCAGTTATGATCCCATTTCCTCTGTGCTCGGAGCATCCCTCAGTGTGCTGGCTTGCTTGCCAGCCCCACTTACCCTGCTGTAACTCCTGCTTGGGGGCTCAAGAGATTCTGCACTCAGACCCTTAATTGCTGCCTGCACCACCATGGCCTCTGACCCATGGTGGGGAGCACGTATAAAAACTTGAACTTGCTCTCGGTGTATTTTAGCTGTCCGAAATTATGTGGATTTTGACAGGAGGGTAGGGAAGAACAAAAGAGCCTTTGCAGATAGCGTGCAGCATGTGTAGGTAGTGCCTCATCAGGGCACTCATCAGGGAGGGTGAAAAATATGGGGAGAGATGCTGATGGAGAGTAATAGTCATGCTGGCAGTTAGGTTATTTAGTGTTGTCCAACAGAACTTGTGTGTGCATCTTCCTTGTTTTGTTTTTTGTTAACTCGAATTAACCCTAGGCTGTAAGATGGGGGGAGTAGTAGGTGAGTCAGAAATAGCAAATTAAAAAGTAAATAGTTACCTTGGAACATGAATTGAAGATCTTGTAATAGAAGCAGTAAGAAGCAGGGGCTTTCCACTCATAATGAATATTCTTGGCAAGAGATTGAGGAATTAGATCACAGTTGACTTAGTGTAGAGGAAAAATAAGGGAAATGATTCTCTGTTATTTCAGTCTTTCTGGTAAAACATACAGGGATGACAGTGCCCAGGCATTACAGATGAGCAGACATGTGGATTTCAAGTAATTGGATATCTACTTTGGGCTTCTGTGGAGTTCCCTGCATATGATAGATGAGGTGGACATTACTTAACAAGTTTTTTTTTTTTTTTTTTTTTTTTATGGATTTTATTTTAAATCATCTTGAAAGCCTGCAGAAAGCATTAAAATTTGGGAAACGCTTGTTGCTCAGGCCTGCAGGCTGCACTGAGTGGATCCTAAGGTATATGCATTTGGGAGGTGGTGGGGAATGATGTATCAGTAAGGGAGGCATTTCATTTTAAGTCTGCCTCCAGATGATTTGTCTCATGGAATAGTTTCAAATTCTTGTTATGTTACTGCGCAACTGCATGGCCACCGATTTGTCCATAGCTATCACCACTGTAACTTCTCTTGTTATCCCCAATCCCAGTGCTCTCTTGGTGAGATGCTGTTTCCACAGTGTGTTCTGTTGAGAAGACAAACTGCCCTGGCTGTTAGGAAGAGCATCCCTTCCCTGCTTGGGTGTTCAGTGCGTTTGATACAGAGAAGCAGCCGGGCGAGGAGCCGCTTCCCTTGTCCTGGGCAAGACGAGCTCAAGGGGAGAGCCCCTTCCTGCGCGCAGTCCCTGCCACGTGCTCACAGCGTGGAATGGCGCTTGTGCTTTTGCATTCTCTGGCTTTTCTAAGTCACTGTTTTAAATGTGTTTTGTGACCTCTCAAAGGTCTCCAAGATGCAGTGAATCCTGGGATTTCCTGTGCCTTCATGGTCTTCCTACACCTGTACTGAAGTGCATTCAAGGGTCTGAATCGCTGCTTGGGAAAGAAATTGTATCTTTTGACAGATTACAGGGTGGAAATGAAAATGTACTCCCATGTTTCTGTGCGTTAGCATTTGCTTATACTGCTTTGGGGGAGGGAAGGAACATCTAAAATATATATGTGTGTATATATATGTGTGTGTATATATATATATATAACTGCTTGTGATGTGAGGCCAGGCTGCGAATGTGAAAGATGCTGTTGAGCTGGAACTGAAGGAGTATTCCTGGCAGCTAGGAAGAATGGTGCGCGCTTTGCCCCCTGTGTTATGTGTAACTTTTCTTCTTCAGTTAAATATAAGAATGATCTGAGTAGGGAAATCTTCACTAGATAATGTTATAATTTTTTCCTTTCTTGCAGCTGATTGCAATGCTGTTCTTAAAGCTCTACAGCCCATTTTTCAGGAGCAGGGAATGACAGAAACAGTTCATAACTGGGAAGACCATGGTTATTTAGCAACCTACATCAAAAAAAATGGCAGGTGAGTGGATTTTTCCCTCTTCTTCCTTTCTCCCTTTCCCCCTGATTCTTTCCTATCTGCCCTTTCTTTACAAATACTTTTCTCTCTTAGACCTCTCAGGGATGCAGGCAGAGTGAAAAAACTGTTTTTACCAGGCTTGTGCCTTTTTTTTTTTTTTTTTTTTTTTAAAGACATTAAAATACAGCAGAATGCCACTGATGATCTTTTCTACATTAACTTGTGGTTTGGTTATGGCAGCATTAGACTTGGTCAGTTGAACTCTATTTGTGCTGTATTTGTGCTTGTGCATAGTGTTTTGAGTGGTGTCTTTCCAGACACAAGACAGAAAGGTCAATAAGGTAATTATGACTTCAGAAGGATGTAGTCCTTAATTTTTTAAAAATGAGACTTTAAATTCTTTCAAGTGAAGTTTTGCAGCATTTGAAATTGGATAAAAGCTTTTTGATTTACAGAAATGAGTTGAGCTTAGTAATGAGTGTGAGTTACTTGTTGCAAAGATTAAAACGCTCTTCTGGTTTAGCCCTAGAACTGTGACTTTTCTGAGTGTGTTCAAGTCTGTTCAGTCTAAACTTAGCATGGGAATGATAAAAATGATTTTTTGGTTCATTTTTTGTTCTTTATGCTTTCAATAACTTTTAAAGCTGCTGGTGAATCTGGAGCATATTTAAACCTTGCCTCCCCCTGCCCAATAGCACTGCTAATGGTGTCAGTATTTACACTGTCACATATTAAGAGTCTGCTAGAATAAGCTCAACTTCATTTTGATTACCAGGTTCTCTTCCTAAATGGCTTTTAAGGTGTTCTTTTGTTGTTGTTACTTTATATACTACCTTTGCCTGATTAACAATAGCTAGCTTAATTTTACAGGGTTTTGCTTATTTTTTAGCAATTCCATTATCTTCTCTTGCTTTCTTCTCTCTTGCTTGATTTTTGAGTCAGAAAATGAGTATAGTTTGAGTAGGTCATGATTGCGTAGAAGAAGTGGTTATAGAGCACCAGTTTGCACTAGGAAAACCACGTCACTAGTCAAAGGAGACACCCTTTTACCAGAGGTGTTCTGCACTTGCTGAGGCTTATAAGACACCACAGAATGAATATAGAGTTTAGGACACGTTTACAAAAGCAGAACTGCAGAGCGTATAAAGCAGTGACTGCTATGAGGGAGTGTGTGGGTGTTTATGGTAAACTACTACTGCATGCAGCCAGAGCAGCCCAGGATTGGAGAAGGTGCCAGGTTGATCCATGGGGAAGGTGTCCCACAAAGGTTTGCAAGATGTAGAGAATCCTCTCTAACACATGTTACAGAGAAACCTAGGAACCTTAATAAAATAAAAATAAGTTTATTAAGCAGCTGTGGTCCTAGCCTCATTAGGACTACTAAGGAAGAGCACTAAGGCATTAAGCCCTTAGGCTTAAGTAAAGGTTGCTGCATGCATTTGGTCTGATTAAGTGCCTTATGGATGTAATTGCTTGGAGATGGGACTACAGCCTTAATTCAGAAGATGTAAATTAATAAAATATTCACGAAGAGCAGATTTTTGAAGGTAGAAAACTTTTTCTTCAGCAGTAAGAATACAGTATCTTTCTGAAAATGCTTTTTTTGGTTTTTTTTTGTTTACAAAAAAAGCAACTTTTTGTTGTTACTCTTCTAATTTTTGAAAAAAAGATGAAATATCTTGAAAATATGAAAACTTACATTTAATCTTTCAAGAATTCTTGTTTTTTTTAAAAAAAATAAAGACATTTGAAACTTTTTTAATTTGGGGAAAAAATTGAAAGATTTTTAGAAGAACTTTTGAAGGCTTTTTGGGGGAAAAGTCTTCTCTGTTCCTTTCCAAATTTTAAGAGGAGATATTCCTTTTTAAAAAAAAAAAAAAAAAGGCAGTAAATAGCCTATTTTTCTGTTTCCTTTTTTGTCAAATTCTCCTTTATGTGCAATATTTTCAACCAATAGTATGCATGAAATGTAACTGTTTAGGGAGTATATTCCCAACTTCCTCCAAGTTATTAAATATTATATGAGACAGTACTGGCTGCCTTGGAGAAGTCAAATTTTATCTGTTTATGATAAACCCTTTGTGATAGTCACTGGCTCTGTTATTTTTGAAGTCTACTTATTTCAGTATTTTCTATGATGAGAGTTTCTATGATGCTGCTGTTAAGGGGCAGCTCACTAGGGATAAAAATTGGCCGTATTCCTAACGCAAATATTTTGACATAAACTTGAATTTTGAAGTGTACTGTTGATGGGGGAGCGAGGAGGGGCGGAAAAAGAGCTGAAATCTAGATCTCTAGAAGGCAAGTCAAATCTTAGGGGAGGAGTGTGTTGCTTGCTGGAATTTCTCTCCCTCTCCCCATCTGTGCATAGTGTCTGTGTATAGACGAATATATACATGCATGCCTTTGTATGTTTTATATATTAAAAATAACACAGACCAACTACTTTGTTAAATTTGGGGCCTGACTTAGGTCATAAGTAGGCTGGCTTGAATCCAGTCGCGTCTTTACATTTCCCATGCAGCTTTTGGAGTGTCTCAGACTGCCTTCCAGATGTGGCAGTGAAATTTATCTGGCTGTGATGATCCAATTTCAGATTCGGTTTCCCACTCCAGCCTGTCCTTTTCCTATTTCCATTGACTGCTTACCCCTTTTGTGCTGTTTTGTGGGTCACAGCTAACTTCCACCAGTAGATGCTGAAGCAGAAAGCATGTTAGACATGCCAGTGTCTCACTAGTGCTGCTGTCTCTCCCTCTGACAGGTAGATTGCCTCTTTACATGGTCACTGTCTTGCCACTGATGTGCCTAGAAATACCTGTTGTTTGTCTCTTACTTTTTTATGCAGTGTCTCGCTATGTTATCTGCTGTGTTTTTATATTTCTCCTTTAAACCAGGATCCCAGTTTCTGGGTAACCTTTTGTTTTTGAGGCTAGTGAAAAGATAGCCAAGTTGGCAGATTACTACTCTGGTGCTATCCTTCCTGCATATTTTCTCAGCTTACATTTGATTTCCCCCTAGAGATACTATCAAGAATACACATAGTCTGAACAAATAGTAATTAAACTATCCAAAAATGGTGGAAGAGGTTTAAACATTAGCTGTCTTGTAATTACATGGGTTTATTTTGGTGTCCTGCTTTCCTCAAGTGTGAAAGAGGCATGAAATGAGAATTGTCACAAACTGACTTTTGTCTTTGTAATCTCCAGATCAGTTTCTTGTAAGCTGTTTCTTCTGAAGGAGAGATTGATTCTAGACAGTAGTTGAGTAAAGTTCCTATAAATTTATAAATACTACGTTATCTAGAGCTTGATTTTCTTTGTTTTTTTTTTCCCTCTGCTGCATTGTCAACTGAAAATACTTGTTGCAGATTACACTGTCTTCTTTGCAAGCATTAGAGTAGCAAGTGCTTGGAGGAGGAAAAGGGGATATAAAAATTAAGATGCCCAGGTAGGGGATGCAAGGAGGGGAAAGATGAAAAGAACCTGTATTCTGTTTTACACAGCTCACCGTAAGAGGAGAAAGCTGGAAAAATCACCAAGTTCCTTGGGAACGTGGAACTGTTGTGAACTATTCTTGGTGCAGGCTTGAAAATTTAGTGTAATGGAGAACTAAAAATAAATGTAAGCTCTCTTCAGTCAATTTTTCAATCTTTTTCAGAACTTGAGCATATTTATAGATTGTGTTGGAGGGGGAAAGATGAGACAGGGCAGAGTTTCATGAAAGCTGCATGCAGTAAATCTCAGCAATTGCTGAGATTCATATGAGTTTAAAAACATTATTTCCTGTGTTTTGTACAGCTGTTGATCTTATGCTTGCTGGCAGCTCTGTTTTGAATCATCCAGCTTTTTCCTGTGCTGCTAAGTATGACACTTAAACTTTCCCACTGGAGGATATTTTCCAGTGTCAGTACTGCTGTGCCAAGGTGGTGTAAGGAGATGGGCCTAGGGGCCCCACTGTGGCAAAGCAGGGGCATGGGAGATTGTTGAAATGAATTACTTCAGTGTCAGTTAATTGAAACAAGGTAGAGAAAAGAGAAGTAGAGAAGATAGAGAAGTGGTTAGTTATTTCCCCTCCTCCCCATTAAAAAAAAAAAAAAAAGCCTTTTGGAAATTAGGTGGCTTGTAGTTAAAAGCAGAACAGAGGCGAAGGTACCTGCTCTGGATTTGCTGCTTCCTGCTCAGCACTCAGAGCTATTTGCGGTGTGGATGGTGGGGCATTAACGGGCGGCCAGCCCGCACAGTGAGAAGAGGGGCAATAGGTGGCTCGGGGGAAGCAGGAAAGATGAAAACATGAAAGATGCACAGGTAGTTGCTGTGCAGAGTGCACAGACGTGCATGCAGGTGTGTGGGCATGCACGTGCCAACACACACTTGTGACTGAGCCCCTGCAAAGCATTGATGCACAACTGATGTAGTGAGTCCAGAGCTAATCCCGAGGGAAAGCAAATGTTTGAGGTGAGCTAGTGCTATGTTGCAAAGGCCTGTCTATAAGGCAAAGTCTGCAGAGATAACTGCTGGACCCTCTACAACTGTGTTACAGGTTGTTGAACTGTGGTCCCTGCTGTTGACAGTTTTGTCCCTGACAAAGGTCCTGTGTGAATGGCCCAGTGGAGGGCAGCTGTTAAATGAATTGGAGCTGATTTGGGGATTAAGGTGAGCTTTCCTGTTATTACCAAAACAACACATGCACGTTCTTCTTTATCTGGAGATAAGCAATCAAAAGTCAGGCCTGGCAACTTTACCTGGTCCATTTACTTTATTATTGACTCTGACAAAGGACTTAATTGAGGAAGGTCCAACTGAAAACACTTACTAATCAGGTTGTCAACACATGCATAAGTGCAATAGCCATTCACACTCCAGAGCCAGGCAGGAAGTGACTCCTGCTTCACCAGTTGAGTCATTGTTTTTAGTGGTGGGAATGAATATGCTTTTCTGTGCTTGGCCAGCCCTATTGGTAGCACGTGCTGGAGGCTCTTTCTGTGAGTTTTGGGAGCTCAGCAG